GAAATAAACTGAAATAAAAGATTAAACATTGAGTCTCAGTCTTTTGTAGACGACCTCCTAAAATTCCAGACTTAGTCTTTTTTTTATAAAGACTTGACTTGAAATATGGTAAGATTAAACATAATTATAGTTATGAGTGTCACTGGTCCTGCGTTTATTGCTGTGATTTTCATGAGGTGTTAGATGATTAAAGGATTTCCAAGTCTCAACTTGCCAACAAAGAACATGCTACCATTCAAAGTCCTGCAAGGAGCACAAGGCTTAGATGAATGGTCTTGCCAACGAGGCCCCAAGTCAAAAACAGAACATCACCACTGTGCAGCTGAGAAGAGAAGAAACCAACTGGAAGGTGGAAGGCAGAGAGATCCCGCAAATGGGCTGTAGCTCCTGCTGCCCAATCCCAAAATGATTGAAATTCCCAGTCTGTGGTGGGAGGAAATTGCAAGGAAGTCTTTATGTAAAGTTCTGAACTCATTAGCTACAGAGGAAAGGTTTTGATATACTTAAAAAAGAAAAGAAAAAAGAAAGCTGATCTTATATAGCAGGGAGTCCAAAATTAGAAGTGATAACTCATCCTTTCATATTTTTTGGTATGGTAAAATTTTAGCAAGAAGTGCTTATGCATGTGTCTGATGTGGGAGGGCTGATCCTGGGATGTAGTGGATTCACGAGTTAAGCTCAGGCTCTTTATAGGGGCAGAAGGATCCATTCTCATCAATTAAGAACTGGACCTCTGGGGTGCCAGATGTTGTAGGAATAATGGGGCTGGGGCCTAAGAGCCTACACATACTCCTTTATATTTCCCCAAGGTTGATGGTTAAAGGCTATTACTTGGAATTTCTAAATTCAAAGTTAAATTTTAATATAAGGATCAAAGATACTGACTTGTTCAGATTACAATGTTAAGTATATTTTATTGTTCTGCATAAGATGTTACAACAGTGCTTCCCACTCGGGAAATGGCAGCATTTGTAATGTACTGCAGAGTTAGCATCTAGTGGTGGTTTCAGAAGTTCTGTGTAGGAGGGATTTAGGGTCAGTAATCTGATTGGAAGGGGTTGCCCAGTGGACTTACCACGAAGCTGTGTTTGCATTAAAAACTCTGTTGTTTACAGTTAAATTATTTATTTTAATTAAAAAATAGCATCAGTGTAAGCATTTTAAAGCCCTTCTTTTAATTTTTCGGATTATCATTTCCATGGGTGAGGACAGGGATTGTGGGGTGCTGATGGAGACCCACGGAAGGGCTACACCCTGCCAGGTCCCCCATTGGCACAGTTGCTGATGGTGTCCCATAAAGGTTTGTAAATCTCTTAAAGATGTTCCATCTCTGAAGTACACTGCATTTTGTCCCTATTACATTATACCATGTGATCTGTTTACAGTGCCACAGAACCGAGGGCTGAAATCCTGTATAAATGATCAACTTACTGAAGCTAGTATTCACACCAAACAGAGCACATGTTTGAAGCAGATTTTTCTCCAGTAGTCTTCTCGAAAATCTCCCTTGGGGGAGAAGACTAATGGAGGGGGACTCGAGAAGTGTTGAAAATAAACGAAGGGTACCTAGGATACTACTTTTAAAAAACTGATTTACCAGAAGCCTCTTTATTTGAGCAATAATGTGACTGCACCTGGCACAGGAACCTTGCTCTGAGCCTGGGTCTTCCCTAGTTTTCTCAATGCTGTGCAATGCAAGACAGTTAATTCACACGGAGCAGATTACAACGCGTTTGACAAAGACATTCTCCTGTATGAAAGCACACCGCCTGAAAGCTGGTGGGGCAGCCACTCACACTGTGCAAGCTGTGGCCCTTCGGGGGATGCCCAGGGAAAGTACGGCCACAGCTTCTCACAGCCTCTACTACAACCCAGCTTTACTCAAGCACGAGGCAACCACCTTTTACTTTTGGTGCAAATATTTGTTTTCCAATTGAGCCTAGACGTTGGTTTGCTAAAAGGAAAAGACGATACGTATACATGTATGCATTTATAGGTAAAATTATTACAGTTGAGTAAGCACCAAATTTTGTACAACTATCTCCCCCCAGAAGCTTCACGACAAGCACACTTATGGCAGAAAATATTCAGATATTAAATTGCCCATGAATCTAGTGCTCAGAGAAAATAAGTGAACAAATCAGATCATTGAAGCTCAAATTGGATCACAGAAATTACAAATATTTACAGAGAAGGACCTTTCACAGTATCGCTCCAAGGCTCTGGATTCCTAGAGAAAGTGAAACAGCTTCTCTGTGGCTGTGTAGGTCTGATTTTCACTGTGTGGCATCCTGTATATCTTCCTACTTTCAACTCGTTTCTTCTCCTGTAAGTTCACATCATTTTATTAATATTAAAGGAAGGCTATAATATTAGAAATTGAAATTGAAGAATGGGGAACTAGGTAGCATTATGTCTACTGGGCTTGAGATCAGCATTTTAAGCAAAATTTGAAATATGATTATATTGTATGTGTTTGCATATGTATATATATATATATATATACACACAACATGTTATATTTCTATCTATCTATCATCTACTATCTATCTATCTATTTATCTATCTAATCATCTATCACCTATCATTGTCATCTAATCTATCTCAATGGGCTGAAGCCAGCTCATGCTGGTTCATGAGAGCTGACAGATAAATTTTCAGGAATTTTGCAAGCTACTTTGGGTTACGTTGATAGCTTGAAAATGGCCATGGGAAGAATATTTACACCACGGAAACCGGCAAATGATATAAATTAGGGATTTTTTTCCTCCTAGAGAGCCAGTTGTTAAACAATTTACCAACATACAATTGTAGGTTTGGTCTGGAAAGAGGCTTCAGATATTGTTCGGTTCACAGTGGAAACAATAATCAATTTTAAAAAATATCAAAGTTAAAAAAAAAAAGTTAGTTTTTGGCAATTTAATTTAGCCAATGAGCTCATAGTCTAAAATATCACTCACTTTTCTTACTAAACGTTTTAAAATAAAATAATAGAGTTTAGTATATTTCTTAATCATTGACTACGTTTTAGAAGACTTGCACAAAGCCAATTTGGGACATCTGTTGACTTATTATTTGAATCAAAGCCTCTGCATTTATGTTTGTTAGATAGTTGCAGAACTGTAACCTAAAGTTAAATATTAGTGAAAATGAAAACTATATGAAAAGTGGATGAATCAAACTTTTCTTGTTGGTGGAGCTTTTGTGTGTTTATTTTTTGTAAACTCTGTCATTTGGTGTTATTGAGGTATTTTATGTTCAATTTGTGTCCCTGCATATGTGTGTGTGTGTGTACATATATGTTTATACACATGTGTGCACATAGACGCACAGACACATACACACATAAACCTCAACAATTATAATATTAGGGAAATGGCATATCTGGTTCATTAAATATTCTACATAAAAACCAGGAATGACTTATGCTAAAAATTGTGACAGGCTTATAAGTAGCTATTTGATCTAGCCAAACAGCTCTTCCTCTCTTTTTGAAAAAAGTTCAAAATGCCATCATTTCTATTTTTCCCCTTTGGGTTAACAACATTTTTACTTTAAATGTGCACACTTCAAGTTCAGTGAATGCTTTGCCTAGGGGTCACAGAGGCCAACTGGGAATTTAATTTTGTGTGTTAGATTTATTTCTAAGAATGTGCTAAGACTCCAGCACAGCTGCTGAATAGGTCTCCATGCACTGGAGTTGTGCAACATCGTGACTGAATAAGAGAGACTGGAGTTTTGTTGGGTAAAGAAAGAACAGGTGGAAAGAATGATTTCTGAACCTGGAAATAACAGCGAGAAGGAAGGAAATTCCAAAAGCAGACATTTCTGAACAATGACAGGCCAGCAGGAGGATACCAAATCTCTGGAAAGATTCAGCCCTTCTTCTAGCTATTGATGACCTCGGCACTCCCCAGGTGCATGGCTTTGACCATCAGGATCTTAGATGTAGATATGGAGAGCTATGACATAGGCTGACTCAGTCCTCAGATAATTCCTTGAAAGTTAGTTTAAAAAATTAAATCCATAGCATTTAATTTCTCCATTAATTTGCTACAGAGCCCAGGACTTTCTGGATAATTACAGGTTCTGGTCTTGTGTTTGTCAATCGGGTGGAGAGATGGAGTTGTTGCAGAAGTATCATCAAATTTTACAGCAGTAGTTCACACATGCAGCTACTATACATTCATTCATTGGTATTTTCCTAAGAAACGGAGCAACCTAGGAGCTTACGCTATGGTAGAGTCCAATGCACCGTCAGGATTACTTCAAGAACAAAGAAGCACATACAAAGGTGTTAACATCTTTCTGTTGGTGTGAGGTTTCACCTGAAATTCTTTAAAATACATTTCTGGTATTTAAATATTAATATGCCACACTTGAAAAGCAGTGGCTTTTTGGTCAAACGCAATACTGAAATGGAATACTGCCTTTTCATAAAAATAAGAAATGTATTTGGAAAATTAAATACCTTTAAAAAATTAAAAATAAACATACTCTCACAGCTTGAGGGTTTGAATGAATCATGTACCAAGGAGTTGGGAAAACTCTTACTTTTGGTTACATCCTGGGACCCCTAACATTTAAAAGCTGCCCAGCAAAGATGACTTCAGCATTTCAGTGGCCTCGATCTACACTGCCATGTTCCATTCAGAAACCATTTTGGCATATCCTACAAACAGCTCAGCTTTTCATGACAAATCACTGCTATGCCACACAAAACTGTTGTGTTTTTTCAGTATAAAAGAGTTTTGAGTTTTAGAGCTCAATATCATGGGGCCGGCCCCGTGGCTTGACGGTTGGGTGTGCGCGCTCCGCTGCTGGTGGCCCGGGTTCGGATCCCGGGCGCGCACCAATGCACCACTTCTCCGGCCGTGCTGGGGCCGCGTCCCACATGCAGCGGCTGGAAGGATGTGCAACTATGACATACAACTATCTACTGGGGCTTTGGGGGAAAAAAAAATTAAAAAAAAAAATTAAAAAAATTAGAGCTCAATAACAAAATTAAGCGTGTTCTGTAAAAGCTTAAATTAATCCATTCAGTGCACTTGCTTTTAAACAAGTCTATCTTGATTTTCCATCCCAGATAGAATTTCAGCTCAATTGCACCATTTTCCAAACACTTAGGAAAGAAAACTTTCCAGTATAGAATCCAACACAAAAGATGCTGAATATACCCTCTGTGATTTAATTCTATTTTCAGTCCATATTGTATATGGACTCTACCTGGAATTTTTTTCTCATTTGAATAGGGGGAAGTCATCTTTTTCAGGCAATTTCTTTCTTGGCATTTACAGATGTTGACTGTTATGTGGATATCCATCAGGAATCAATGGAAAAAACTTAATTTATATTGTTTAGAAAGTAAATGTTTCAATGAACATAAAAGTCTTTTTATGCATTCCTTAAATACTTTGAATGGTTATTTAATACATAAAGATATTTGTACAGGTTATTCTTCATCTTGAAAACACTTCATAATTTTGATTACTCAACAAAAATGAGTAATTATTTAAAAATATTTTTCATCATTTTATAAAATATATCTTTATGGTATTGATTTTGGATCTTGTTTGATCTGTCATTTTCCAAGTGATTAATCCCTGATGGATTACATACAGTTGGGTGGATTACATAAAGACTATGTCTTTAATTGTATTTATAAATTTCTTGTCACATATTTTAGGCAAACCTGAGGATAGGTCATTGAATAATTGTTATTTTTTTTCTTGTAAAATATTTCATTTCTCCATTTTCTTCTTTAGTGGTCTTTTGAAGAATCCAATCTGTTGAGAAAATACCAAACATAACACAATTAATTGTTTGAGTTTAGGTAATAAATACTAATCTCCTTGAATAAAATTTAATTTAATAACACGTTAGCAATTCTGGGCATACAAATAATTAACATAATTGAGAGGTATTCTTTTCATTGACTTCATTTAAGTAATAATGAATGTCAAGAAATGACATTTATAAAAATGCTATTTCATTTTTAACTTGTTTGTTGGTTAAATATATCATGTCTCCCAATAAAAACTAGTACATGTGGTGAACTAAATTAAAGAGTTCTAGGAAAATATTTTAGGAGACGTAAAAATGGCAGTTAACTGGCACTGTCTCTACTTTGCCATCATCTTTTTTTCAGGGACTTGGCAGAGAAATTTCCATCAGATAACTGATGGTCATAAGTTGGGGTCATTGGCGTTGATGGTGAATCTGGCAGGTACACTATGGCTAAGGGGTTGGGGAGATTTCCGAGTTGTCTGGGTTAACTTTAAGTGTGTTAGAACATTTGTCTACATAGGCTGGACATGAAGAGCCTCTTAAAAACACCCTGTATCATTTGGATGTGAAAATTAAGTCATTGAAAATATGAAAAACTTCACATAGGGGTGATTGGGGGTCATTTTTCATTATGATTTGTGATTTGAGGCATCATAAAAATTATAAGTGCTTTATTTATTTATTTCCTATTATACAGAATAATAAAAATAAGTATGGGGCTGGAAGGGATATTTTTAATAAAGTAATCTAAAATGGGTATTTCTGGGGCAGCCCCAGTGGCCTAGTGGTTAAGTTTGGCACACTCTGCTTCAGCGGCCTGGGTTTGGTGTCTGGGTGCGGACCTACACCACTTGTCAGTGGCCATGCTGTGGTGGCGGCTCACATACAAAATAGAGGAAGATTGGTAACAGATGTTAGCTCAGGGTGACTCTTCCTCAGAAAAAAAAATAAAATAAAATAAAACGGGTATTTAAAATAAAGGAAATTAAGGGTCTTAGAGAGGCATTTTTTTAATCTGTGTATTTTTTTTTTAATTGGCAAGTGAATTATAATAGTTCAAGCAAACACAATGAGTTAATTCTTTGAAAGTGTGGTCCCTTCATATCATATTAATCATGAAGTTATGGTAAATTATGCAAGGGAATTATATATTCTTAAATTAATTATCGAACAATTGAGGACTTGGAGGGGATAAATGGTCAAAAAATGCAGTTTTAAATCAAAGAAGATTTACTCAGGGCTTTATGTCTACCACCATGCCAGAATCTAGTTGGTGGTAGATGAGGAAAAGGTGACAACAGAACACATGAATATGAAAAAACAATAAATTTGTCTTCCATAGAATGCCAGTTCTCCCACATGTCTCAGGCCTGTTCCTTTGAGCCAATTATGAAAGTTCTGGATTCACAAACCATTAGGTGCCTTAACTTGTGCCTGCTTGTCCTCAGTTGAAGATCAATCAGACTAGGCTTCCACAAAAGCCAGTGGTGCATTATAAAACTTTTCTCTTTCCTGCCCGGCCAGCTCTTGATCTTCTATCCTTCCTCTCTCAGGTCTCTTTCCTTCTTTTCAACTTTCCTTTGCTTTCACACATTAAATGTGTTATTTTATTTTATCTTTTTATTTTCTGGTGAGGAAGATTCACTCTGAGCTAACATCTGCCACCAATCTTCCTCTTTTTTTGCTTGAGGAAGATTAGCCCTGAGCTAACATCTGTGCCCATCTTTCTCTATTTCATATGTGGGTCGCCACCACAACATGGCTTGACAAGTAGTGTAGGTCCACGCCTGGGATCCAAACCCGTGAACCCCAGGCCGCTGAAGCAGAGTGCGCCAGACTTAACCACTATGCCACAGGGCTGGCCCCTAAATGTGCTATTTTAAAACTTACCTTCTGTTATCTAAATTTTTCCATCCAACCAGTTCTATTAACATTGAGTTTTCAGTGGAAGTTGGAGTAGAGATTAGGAACATATAGTTCATAGCTTCAGACTAGACAAGGCCAATACTAGCCAAAATTTGAAACAAGTCAACTCCAGACTTTCCTTACAGCATTCACTTTCCTTCTTTTTCTTTCTCTATTTGCATAATGATCTTATTTATGCTCCCCTACTTCAAAACCCTATGGCAGAGGGTCTGATTAAACAGCCCCTGGTAGAAAGCATGTGCTTAGTGATGATAATCAAAATAAATGTGGAATGAATTAATTCATACTAATGTGTAAAAGGCTAAAAAATGGTGAGGTGAAGAGCCAGCCCTGATGGCCTAATGGTTAAATTTTGGCACGCTCTGCTTCAGCAGCCTGGGTTTAGTTCCTGGGCGTGGAACCACACCACTTGTCTGTCAGTAGCCATGCTGTGGTGGCGGCTCACATAGAAGAACCAGAAGGACTTACAACTAGAATATACAACTATGTACTGGGGCTTTGGGGAGGAAAAAAAAAGAGAGGAAGATTGGCAACAGATATTAGCTCAAGGTGAATCTTTCCCAGCAAAAAAAAAAAAAAAGGAAAAAAATAGCGAGGTGTTATTCCCTATCCACACCCCCCAAGGGTATGCACATTGGATGAGGAACAAAGCTTTAGGATTAACAAGTAAATCATAAGTGGTGGAGCTTTAGGCATCAGTATGAGATCAAGTTAAGGGAGAGGAATGTTCTGCTCTCTCAGGGTTCTGCTGTGGGCCGAGTCTCATTCTACTCTATTGGTTACACCGGCCTGACTGGGCTTCTCCCTTAGCATGTGGTACCATATTTCAGGACATGTTTCTCAATCTATTTAAATCCATGTCCCCTACAAGGCTTCTCCCCTGAACATTAAAGATATTAAATAGCTAGTAAGATTTTGTCAAGCTTTAATTTCTGCCATGTGTACTACTAAGATGAAGACATAAAGACTGTGTCTTTTAAAATGGAATCACAGCGGGTGCCTTGCGTAAAGTCTCAGACTGGGAATTCCTACGAACCCCCAGAGTGGTGGGATTTGGGAAAAGGAGGAAGAAGGGATAGTCCTGAGGTGTCTAATTAGTCCAGATCTAATTAGTATGAAAAGACGCCTGGAGATGAGAGTAGATTTCTGAGCCTACTGCAGATTACACACATGCTTCAGCGAGGTTCAACATGGCTTTAAAGCAGGAGGCAATTAATCTTTTTGGTATAACAGAGCTGCTGAAAGTCTGAATCCAACCAAGGACTCGCATTCCAAAATCAAATATTTTTATACTTTTCAGAGAGTTCATGACCCTCTTGAACAAAACCTAATTCCTGGAGCTCCAGAGTAAAAAGCCTGCCCCATAGCCTGCAGCAGTGGGATGTATTGGGAAAAGGATGGGCATTGCAGAGAGATCATTGCTTCCATCCAGTCCCTTGCCAGCTGGTAATCTTGGGAGAGTTACTTAACCCTTTCTCTTTGCTTCAGTGTCCTCAAGTGAAAATGTAGTTGAAATACTTAGTTGAAAATGTTATATGGATAACAGAGTGAATAAAAGCAAGAGAGAACCTAGAGCGATGGGGTTAATAGTGCTGGCACTGAAGGGAAATGACCCAGATTCAGATCCTTACTCTGAACCTGACAACTCATGTGGCCTTGGGAACATATTTAACTTTTCTATGCCTCAGCTTCTTCCTTTACAAAATGAGGTTCATAATAGTGTCTTCATCTTAGGGTTGATGTTAATATTAAAGTGAAAAAGCTTAAAACAGTTCCTGGCATATAGTAAGCACTCAGTCAGTGCTTGTTCCCTTCCCTCCTGCCACGGAATCACAGCTCTGATTGCTGGATCTCCCACTGAAGTGGCTGAACTAACTATACCTATGGGCAGGACAGTCCAAAGGTTGTTAAATGACCTTCCTTTGGGCCTGAAAAGAAGATCTAAGAAGGCATTAAAATGTATCAACAAAACATTTACTGGAAGGAAGAATGTGTTTATTTTGATATTTATGCTTTTTCAGACCGATGATCAAAAAACAGGTGGATGAAACTTGTTTTAAACATAGGTATGTAGCCAGAGAGAATCTATCCAAATATCAGCTCTGGCTTTCCTTTTCTCATGTCAGCAGTGTCCTCCAACTACATGGGCAAGTGCAGTGCTCAGAATAGAAGACCATACTGAAAGAAATCAACAGTAACATGCCTTCTCTATTAGAGATGCATATAAATGAAGAAACCACATTCTGTATTTCAAGCACAACCTTGACACCACTAAGCCAGGCCTTGGGTACCACAGTGTGGCAAAGCCCGGTATTACAGACAGAGCACTGATAGCCCGGGAAAGCAGGAAGAAGAGCTGGAGTTTTGAGATGGGGGAGAATTCTGTCTTAAAGACTTTGCTGGAGAAAAGCTATGGATTCTATTTACTGACTTACTTCTTTACGTGGCTTTGTTCATCTTCTCCTCTGCGAGTAACTCCCCCAAAGAGAAAGTTAGTCAGTATGAGTCAGAAAGGGTAGGAACAGTTGGTAATTTGGTGGGAGAGAAATTTGTTATTTAAACTATTTGATTAAAAGACAGTTCTGGGCCGGCCCTGTGGCTTAGCAGTTGAGTGCGCATGCTCCACTACTGGTGGCC